CCCAGTTCGGAAAACGAATATGGCTGTGTGAGAAGCACTTGAGCAACCTGCATTAGAAATTCCATTAAAACCAAATTAAGACATGTAATTATAATTAGCTAATCTCACAGCTATATTGAAAACTAATACTACCGCAACAAAAATTACATAGGCTCTTTCATTTACAAACAGAACATATATATATTTCAAAGCCCCAAGACATCAAGAATAAGACAAAATTATTAACAAGCTAATGATGAAAATGGAACTACCAACTCCTTACTTGCTAATTTGAACAACAACGAGGGAATACATGCCAGTTGACGAGTTGTACTGCCATTGTTTCACATAACCATAATCAATGTCATACCTGTGTCTCATACAAAAGTTGGGACAATTTGGGACAATTTGTTTCAAAAATATGCAGGTAACATACCTACAGATTCATTACCAACAAAACTAATGAGAACACAAAAACAAAGTTGGATAGCAGATTTAGTCTGAAAGAAAGCCATTCAATTGCTGACACATTATGAAACCATGTGCTTGACTGGTTGTCAATAAGGCTGAGATTAATTTCATATTACTAGTTTACATACCACTTGCCTTTGGAAGTTCACTGCGTGCTGTTGCGAGCCTCGCTACTAGCAGTAGCAGGACTTTCAACAGCACATAAGCTCTTCACGAATATGCTACATAGAGTGTTCCGAAAGTCAATGGCATTTTTTGATTCAACACCAACTGGAAGAATCTTAAACTATGAAATATAAGCATATGGTTTTCAGTTTGCATTACTCTCTTGAGGGGTGACTAGAGGAAGTAGACTAAAAGATACTAAAGGAGTCAACAAATGAAATATAAAGGTCTAACCGCACCAAAAAGATATAAAGGTCCCATATGATAAAAAAGGTATAAAGATCGATATGATCAAAAAGATACAAAGGTTCGATATGATCAAAAATATATAAGGGTCAGGTTCTTCTATTTCCACAATATACAAGATGAATGCAGTTATAAATTGTTTGTGCGTGCGTGTGTGTCTGTCCAAAAGTGAAGTTCATTACTAGAAAAGCTCTTTTATTTCATTTTGCAGGTATCGTATTCTTGTTGATCGGTAAAATCAGAGGACTTGAGCTGCTCCAGTGGGACTACCACTGACTCAATTTGCCTTCCTACCTGTAATGAGTACATCAAACAGAAGGCTTCATTAATTATAATTCCAATGCAGATGACCATTAACAAAAGTTTGAAATTACCCATTATGAAATTAAACATTTGTGAAACATTTTGCATTGTCAGTTTTATCATATTGAACTACACTTAGTGAAGAAACAATTTTTGTTTTAAAGTAAGAAAACCAAAATCCAAAATTGACCAAACTAGTAGCAAAATTGAGCTCCATATCCATTCCATCATCACAACTATTATAATGATAAAAATCAAGCATTACCCACCAAACAAAATCAAACCCATCAACCAGATCAACAAAGATCACAAATGAGAATGCACGGAAATTGAGCTCACCTGAGAAGCAAAAATCCTAAGCAGAGCTCTCCTGACTCTAGAGTCCATAGCGTCAGAGATCCCCATTTGGATCCTCATCAGCTCACCCACAGTCATAACCCGCTTGGGCTTTCCGGGTCCGAGAGAGATGAATAGCGGATAGAGAAAGACAGATATGAAGAGAGATCTATGACGACGAAGTTAGGTTTTCGATTTCGATGGAGGA